TGTGTATATTAGGGCTGTCAATCGATTTAAAGAATTTAATCAAGGTAATCACAGTGATGGACTGTGATTAATCACAATTAATCACAAATTTAAAATACTATGATTTACCTGTAAATGTGTTGCAATAAAGAAATGCATGTCAAACTAGTTTAAGGTAACATATCCTCCAGTTTTATTATCTCAACAATTAACATATCTATTATAATACCATTTCAGAAATGAAATGTCTGCAAAAACACAAAATGAACACTCTGTACATTCTTGATCTGAAGTAAAGAAATGTATAACAAAACTAGTTTAAGGAAACAGTTCCTGCAGTTATCTCAACAATCAACATTTTTATTATAGGTCTATTTTAAAAATTAAATGTCCGTACAGAGACAAAGTGAACAGTCTCTACAGTGTTCATCTAGGCAACATTCCTCCTGCTAACCAATCATACAATATACTCTTCTTTCAGCCAGTTGCTCAGACAGACTAGCTTATTAACATTTTCAGATGAAAGAGCTGACCTCTTCTTCTGCACAATGTGGCCTGACAAAGAGAACATAAATTACTTGTTTGTATTAGTAAAATTGAAGAGGAAAAAAATACCTGCAAGGTTCCAGCAACATTTCCAGCTTTGCCAATCTGTCGTAATCAGCTGAAGTTAGCCTGACACAGGGCTCTGCCTTGTACCTCTCTAGACATTTATCTGTGAACAGAACCTCATCATCAGACTCTGACTCTGATCCCATCACTAGGAGGGCCATTTTCTTGTTTGGTGGCTCTGGGTCTACTTCTTCTCCAGAGCTCTGTGGAGCAGGTTCTACATCCTTCAGCATCATGCTCAGCTTTTGCCACACCTCTCCCCTCTCTGATTTGGGCAAGCACCTAAGGTCCTTGAACCTGGGATCTAGAGCTGTTGCTATCTTTAACCACCACAGGTTTGAACTCTCCTTTCGCTTGTTGAGGTCCTTTGTGAATGCAGCCTTGAAGCGCACTATGTAGGAAGGGTCAACATCAGAGACCTCCATTGTATGCAGGAGATGGCGCAGTGCAGGTAGCACCACAGAGCAGGATACATACTTTTCACCACCTAGAAGCTCAGTATTGTACCTACAGTAAAAACACACAACTGACTAAATGACTACAGTTTACATTTTACAGTTAACATTCAGATGGCACCTATTCAAGGTATTGGACTTAAACTATATGATTATGATATGATTAAATGCTAAATTATTATTATAAATAAAATTGTATGACATAAATTACTTGTTTGTATTAGTAAAATTGAAGAGGAAAAATACCTGCAAGGTTCCAGCAACGTTTCCAGTTTTGCCAATCTGTCGTAATCAGCTGAAGTTAGCTTGGCTAACTTATGCTTCTGCTGTGCCAGTGCTGCATTCAGTGGATCTTTATTGTGTTGAAGCCATCTTATCATTTCAAGAGTTGAATTCCAGCACGTCGGTACATCCTGCACGAGAGACTCCTCTGTTAGTCCATGGGAGACTTGAAGAGCTTTCAGCTCTGCATTGTTTGCGGGACTGTGCTTGAAGTGTCCGACTATTTTACAGCACTTGGCTAAAACGCTGTCAAATCCGCTCTCCCGAAAAGCCATGGCGATAACTCTTTGTATAACGTGCACCACACAAGGAATATGCTCGAATGGTAAACTTCTTGCAGCAGCAATCATATTGGGAGCACTGTCAGTTCCTATAGTTGTGATTTTCTCCGTTATCCCCCACTCATTTGCAACATCAAGGCTCAACTAACACATTGGCCACTGAAACAAAATTTCAGTTCAGAACAGGGAAACCTGAGCTGTTACCTGCTGGTATAGATGTTTACGTGTTATTAAGGCTTTAACTCACATCACCTAGTTACTTATTTTACTCATTGTCTCTGCAGGTCTGAAGCTTCCAGACTTCCAGGACTCCATCTTTGAGTATTTCAACACCTCCCCCCTTGCTTCAGACCTCACCTTCAGAGTGAGTCACCTTCATTCTGGGTCAGACCATGGTTAAAAGGGATGGGAAATAACGTATAAAACGGTTTCTGTGTTTATACTTTAACATCCTCTGACTTAAAGACACTGTTTAAACTGCTTACAGCTGGTGTGCAAACCATCGGCTTATAAATATGCATGACATGCTACCACTTCTCTGCATTATGCAAAAGTGACGCCATCGTAAAACAGCTGCGTGCATGCACGCCGCCATCACGGGCATAGCGGTGCAAACTAAAAGTGATTAGGATAAAACTAAATGGTACAACATAATAGGAGACGACTCAAACCCTGTACAATCATTATTTAGACTGTAATAATGAGTAGCCAAGATGGTTACAGGCAGCATAAATGTTTGACTTGGGGATAAAATATTAGCTGTAATCCAGGTCATTCATAAGATTTAAACCACTTGTTAACTAAACAAATATGTAACACCACAGTCTCCTATGTGGTGGTACACAAACACTGGTGTCAGTGGTGTTGTGATTAATCACAAATTTAAAATACTATGATTTACCTGTAAATGTGTTGCGATAAAGAAATGCATGTCAAACTAGTTTATGGTAACAGATCCTCCAGTTATCTCAACAATCAACATTTCTATTATAGGTCTATTTTAGAAATTAAATGTCTGTACAGAGACAAAATGAACAGTCTCTACAGTGTTCATCTAGGCAACATTCCTCCTGCGAACCAATCATACAATATACTCTTCTTTCAGCCAGATGCTCAGACAGACTAGCTTATTAACATTTTCAGATGAAAGAGCACGACTTGTTGATGCTGTATCAGCACTGGCATCTTTATAACATCTGCCAAAATATGTTTGGCCCGAAGATGGTACTTCAAACTTGTTGTGCTTCGGTGAAAGGACAGTTCATCACTACAATAAATGCACACAACTTTGGTTTTATCCAAACTTCCATCTGGCAGCTTTTTATAACGAAACTTGCCGTTCAGCACACCAGGCATTGTGTTTTCTGCCATCTTGTTGTAACACACGTTCGCTGTCACGTTACCTGGCCTTATCACACAATAGATAACCATCCATGCTGCGATGATGGCAAGAAGTTGGGGTCAAAACTTATCAAATGCTTAATTTGCATTAAAAAAAAGTAACGCGTTAAAAAAAAAAACTTTGATTCATCATATGTTAACGCATTAACGTTGACATCCCTAATATATATATACAGTGCCTTGCGCAAGTATTCGGCCCCCTTGAACTTTGCGACCTTTTGCCACATTTCAGGCTTCAAACATAAAGATATAAAACTGTAATTTTTTGTGAAGAATCAACAACAAGTGGGACACAATCATGAAGTGGAACGAAATTTATTGGATATTTCAAACTTTTTTAACAAATAAAAAACTGAAAAATTGGGCATGCAAAATTATTCAGCCCCTTTACTTTCAGTGCAGCAAACTCTCTCCAGAAGTTCAGTGAGGATCTCTGAATGATCCAATGTTGACCTAAATGACTAATGATGATAAATAGAATCCACCTGTGTGGAATCAAGTCTCCGTATAAATGCACCTGCACTGTAATAGTCTCAGAGGTCCGTTTAAAGCACAGAGAGCATCATGAAGAACAAGGAACACACCAGGCAGCTCCGAGATACTGTTGTGGAGAAGTTTAAAGCCGGATTTGGATACAAAAAGATTTCCCAAGCTAAACATCCCAAGGAGCACTGTGCAAGCGATAATATTGAAATGGAAAATGGAAGGAGTATCAGACCACTGCAAATCTACCAAGACCTGGCCGTCCCTCTAAACTTTCAGCTCATACAAGGAGAAGACTGATCAGAGATGCAGCCAAGAGGCCCATGATCACTCTGGATGAACTGCAGAGATCTACAGCTGAGGTGGGAGACTCTGTCCATAGGACAACAATCAGTCGTATACTGCACAAATCTGGCCTTTATGGAAGAGTGGCAAGAAGAAAGCCATTTCTTAAAGATATCCATAAAAAGTGTCGTTTAAAGTTTGCCACAAGCCACCTGGGAGACACACCAAACATGTGGAAGAAGGTGCTCTGGTCAGATGAAACCAAAATCGAACTTTTTGGCAACAATGCAAAACGTTATGTTTGGCGTAAAAGCAACACAGCTCATCACCCTGAACACACCATCCCCACTGTCAAACATGGTGGTGGCAGCATCATGGTTTGGGCCTGCTTTTCTTCAGCAGGGACAGGGAAGATGGTTAAAATTGATGGGAAGATGGATGGAGCCAAATACAGGACCATTCCAAAAGCTGGACAGCACCAGGCCCTAACATGATCCATGCCTACTGATTAAAGAAGCTAACTTCACTCCATGAGCACCTGGCAGGACAAATGAACCACTTCTGGAACCCACCCTGAGTGTTTAATAAAAGTCCTGATCCTGAAGGACCCTCAGAATGGAGCAGTTTCATCCAACTACTGTTAAATAACCTGCCTCTGCACAACATGGAAGCTCCTGTCAGGAATCATAGCAGCTAAGATGAACAGGTACATGGCTCAATACATGAGCAGGGCCCAGAAGGGAATTGGTAGTAACACCAGAGGAGCAAAGCACCAGCTACAGGTTGAAAAAAAAAGTCACTCGAGACTGCAAGACCAGGCATACTAACCTGTGCACTGCCTGGATTGACTACAAGAAAGCCTATGACTCAATGGCTCACACATGGATCCTAGAATGCTTGGAACTGTACAACATCGACAGGACTCTACAAGCCTTCATCAAGAACTCAATGGGAATGTGGAAAACAACCCTAGAGGCCAACTTCAAGCCAGCTGCACAAGTCAACATCAAGTGTGGTATCTACCAAGGAGATGCTCTGTCCTCACTGCTGTTCTGCATAGGCCTGAACCCCCTAAGCCATATCATCACCAAGAGCGTCACCAAAAGCGGTTATGGATACCGACTACAGAATGGAGCAACCATCAGCCACCTCCTCTACATGGATGACATCAAGCTGTATGCCAGGAGTGAACGAGACATCAACTCACTGATCCACACCACTAGGATCTACAGCCAGGACATCGGAATGTCATTCAGACTGGATAAGTGTGGTGGAATAGTAACAAGGAGAGGAAAGGTAGTCAGAACTGATGGGATTGTACTACCAGAAGGCAAGAAAACAGATGCTTAGGACAGTTACAAGTAACTTGGGATCCCGCAGGCAATGGGAACCACGAAGAGGCCGCAAGGAAAGCAGCAACTACCAAGTACCTGCAGAGAGTAAAGCAGGCCTGGGAAGTCAGCTGAATGGAAAGAACAAAGCCAGGCGATTAACACCTACGCCCTGCTGGTTATCAGGTACCCTGCTTGTTACGGTGTGCACAGGTATTGATGGACCCCAATATGCCGACACCCAGTGTCAAGGTGAAAGATGAGAATTTATTGTAGCATAACACAAGGATGAAGACACATACTTATCAGACTAAGCAATAGGGGTGAGAAGGAGAGGACCGGAGCAGTAGGAAGCCTGAGATGGTGAAGACTGTTGTGGTCAGAGGGCGAGAGGAGGTGAAGGATGTTTCCCACACTGGTGATGGCAGAGAGGTAGTCAGAGGGCGGTGGAGAGTGGTTGAGAGGCCAACCGGAGTACCTGGGGAAGGCAGGGACGTAGGTGATAGCTCAGGGCCGTACCAACGATTGCATAACTCAGCAGAGGTAGGTGGAAATGGACACTACACACAGAAACAGCACATAGCTAGAATATTAGGAGTCTCTTAAGGTGAGGACGGACACCGCCCACGGAACAGCAGGTTGCCAGGAGAATGGGAGTCTCTGCAGGTTCAGAACAGAAGCAACACAGAAACAGCACCTTTTCTGCAGGTCGGGAGTCTCTGCAGGTGAGGGTGGACACAGAACACTAGATATAAGTTTTCTAACTCATGGAAGACAATCAAGGGTTCAAATAAATAAAGAGATGTATATAAGTCCATGATACTAAATTAAAATTACTATTTTCATGTAAAGCAAACAGTGCTAATGTAAACAAAACAAAAAAACAAAATGACAACAAAACAAAACAAAAAAAGCTACATTTCTTCCCTGTCCTGTTCATCCTGTTTCAGTTAGCAAACAACTAAATTGGACAGTACTGCCACCATCTGGTAAGTAATTTGGCTGTGCTTGTGAACAACTGCTTGGTGTCCACAGGGCCACGTGCCAGTCTGTCCACTCCAACTTGCTCTGTGATATGGCTTAGTTAGTATTTCAGTACAGCCAACCACATAATAGAACTGTTGACACTGACATACTGTAGCTTTTATATTTATGCAGTTAAACAGCACAAATATAAAAGCACTGACTCTTAGATATAACTACACTGATGCAGTAGTCTGACAGGATAAGTATACAGATGCAGCTATATATTGACAGCAAGTGCATCTGTAGTGTGATCAGCTATACTGACATGCAAACCAAAAGAAGGATGTTGACTTCATTCTTTTTTTAAAGTTGCTGTTAAAACTTGTAATTTTGGTCAATGTAAACTTCTCCCTCTCTCTGTGTGATAATACTACCATATGTCTGTGCGTGTGCTGCAGGTGGTGATAATGGAGGTTCAGGGTCTGAAGTCATTGGCTCCAAACAGAATTGTTTACTGCACTATGGAGGTGGAGGGAGGACATAAACTGCAGACGGACCAAGCTGAGGCCTCAAAACCCATGTATGTACAGTACATAAACACACACACTGCAAAAGAAAATGTCAGTCACCAATCACACTTCTTTGTGTAACCGTATGAAACAGTGCTTTCTCTCACACACACACACACACACACACACACACACACACACACACACACACACACACACACGTCACAAATGTAGGACATATATGATTATATTGGACATGGCTAAACAGATACACTAATGTTATGACATTGTGCGTTAAAAGGTCATACTTGACATAGGAGGACAAATTGTTTTACATAATACATAGTACAACAGCACTGTGCACTGCAACAGTATAATATGAATATATTAGACATACTGTATTCTAGATTCAGATTGGTTGTAAAGTATTGATTAACTCTGCAGTAATGCATGGCATAACTGCATACCTATGACCTGCTTACCATTCTAAATCAATGTACCCATATTAAAAGGTAACAATAGCCACAACATTGAAGCCTTGCCACCAGGTGACTGAGCTGGCTGTTGATAACAGTGATAACAGAAAAAGAGCTCAGTAAAACACAAGAAGACAAACACGAGCAAAAAAAAAAAAAAAAAAAGTTACAAGCTGGACAGTGAAGACACAGACCTGAAATCTTACAGCGCAGATTCCCAAAATAAAATGCTGAGAGACTAATGCCTGTGTCCTACCATCGAAACCAGGAACAGAGTGCAGCCTGAGTCTAACAAGCCTGGGGGCACCAGCGGACACCTAACTGCCTTTAATATAATATCTAACTCCAGGTTCAACTGGTCAAATTCAGTTTTTAAATTTGTAGTTAAATGATATGCTCTAGCTCAATGGTGTAAGCATCCACCATCCACCTGTATCAGTCTGACCAGAAACAATGTAACTAGAGGTTCACCTGTACTGTCCCCTGATAAAGCTGAAGGTCTGGTTTGGAAGATGTGGCCAGGAAAGGCAAAGAGAGAAACCAAGAGCTGTCTCATTCCTCTTTTTTGGTTAGGCAAGATGAAGATGGGTTTGAATATGTTACACAAACCAAGTGATCCACTCTGACAAAATCTACACAATTTTATATTTAAAATTCATGTGTGATTATGCCCATTATGCCCGGTGGCAAATTTTTAAAGTATGCTTCCAAGTGTCCTCCAGACACAAAAGCTTTTTATTCACATCCAAGATGCAGGTCACGAAGGGATCTGGACACTTGCAAAATTTTAGAGCCACAAACCGATGGGGATTATTTTTTGGGGGAAATATGATGAAAAACATTGCACAGGTATGGAAATGGCTCATTAAATACATTATCTCCTTTAGAGAGTTTAACAGTAATTCTGTTGTTCTTGATATTGTTTGTAGGACTATTTATTTATTAATGTAGTTATCAGTAGTGTGCATCATAATTGTTCAAATATTTTTAATTAATATTGTTGTTGTGGTTGATAAACATGATGTTAGTGTTTGTATCTGCATTAGTCTTAAACACAAGTTGACCTGGACCAAGAGACTCATGCAAATGACACTCCTTGAATAAGCTCTATCAGCCGGTATGTGTTACTTAGCAATTGGAATTTCCAGCTAATAGGGACTAGACCTACAGTATGTTTATAAAAACAAAATATATACACATAGTATATTGGTAAACACTGTATGATATAAAGAAATGAGAATCAGCTCATAGCTGAGTAAATTGGCTCAACTATTTTCAATCAGCATATAAATGGTAACAAGTTGAGAGTTTATAAACCAATCCCCTTGACTTTACATCTCTTAGACAGCCATCAGTTGTTGCCAAGTAACATGGGTTTTCTGAACTGGCGGAACTCTGCCATAGTACCTCCTCAACTACCTGTGATCCTGACACCTAGTTTACAGTAGTAAACTGGCAAACTAAAAGCACTTTAAAGTGTTAAAAAACAAACAGTGGCATACGTCCCTACACATATGGTGACTGGTTTGGAGCAGCTTTTTTTTTTCTCCTCAATGTTAAACCCCGATTTCTGACAGTCTCTTATGTTTTGGAGAGTGATTAGCCAGTACAGGATGCTCATGTTATGGTTGAGGTCCCCTCACCAGGAGGTTGAGGGAGAACTGAGGCAGGACTCAAGTATGTAGGGTCAGTTCTTGTTACCATGCTAACTCTGAGAGACGAGACAGTCCAAGTAACTTCAAAACAGTGCTGATTTATTCAAAGGATCACAGGTAAAATTAACATTACACGCTCAGATATCTTGGACCTCCAAACTGCACGCAGGCAGTTGTAAGATGAAAAACCCCCTGACCCCACCAGGCCTATACATTTTATCACTTCGGTTGGGCTAGCCCCATACTACACAGAAATGTCAACCGAGACGTCTCTCTCACCAGCTTTGCAGCTGGCTCTAGCAATAGTCAAAACATGAAGCAATCAACGTGTGAATGTGTATGTCTGTTGATTAAGTGGTGTGTAGCTAAAAACATTCTCATGACCTCTAGTACATGTCGTGACTTGAACATAAGAACATTATGGCTAAGGCTACAGTTATACACATCATAATAATAATATTAAACACCCTGTCTGCTGACAGTCATCAACTCTTCTTTCTGGTAGCCTTGACCAGATGTACCCTGCAGAAACTCATAAGCAGGCCTAAGCATTTAACAGTCTAACTAGACATCCTCTCTCCACTAACATTTCTAATACATAAAGTATCTATCCAATATCTATCTGACTAAAAATATCTAACAAGTATGCTGACCCAGGTGCTAGTAAAAAAGGTGGTTTACTGGAACACAACACAAAGTAACATAACAAGGGTCATGTACATATATAAACATAGTTGGGCAGAGATGGCGGAGGGGACCCGGATGAACAGGTAAACAGACAAACTGACGGCAGGAAACAGGAGAGCAGGAGCAAGAGAACAGACAGGTGAAAAAACAGGCTAACCAAGGGGGACAGATGAACAAAACGGATTTCCACAGCACAGGAACTGTCAGCTGGGATAAAACAAGTAACGTCTGGCTGACCTCGAACAAAAAAACACACAAGGAGGTCCACAGCACAGGAAATGTCAGCGTGGACTGTAAGATTTAAGTCTTGTAGAGTCTAGTTACTTTATAAACTTTAGTTACTTCTCATACCTTTAGTTCTCTTTAGTTACCTTTCATAACTTTATCTTACTTGATTATACATATTACAGCTGTATTGATTATTGTGCAGAACTACTGAGCTTTGGTTATTTTAATACATTTATTTTTCTAATACATTTATTCTCCTTGCTTATCTGTCTTACAATTGTAATGAGGTAGAATCCGCTTGCTCTCTGCAACTTCTGAATGTTGTACCTCTGTCCGGGGCGGAGCAGCCCAAGAAGATAAAATGTATTGTAAAACATGATTCGGGATTCAGAAGTTGCTTTTCCTGTGGGAGCTCTGGCTCTCTGAATCCAGCGCTGTAAGACTTGCTTGTAATCAGACTTTCAGTAAACTTTCTGTTGATTTTAAACAGTCCTCTCCTGTCTTCACTTCTCGTGCTTCCAACAAAAGAATTGGGTTAATTTCTAACAAAGGTTAAAATCTAACAGGACCGTATAGTACAAAAACATAACTGAAGTCTTTCCAGTTCTTGTACCACGCTAATTCTGAGAGACGAGGCAGTCCAAGTAACTTCAATACAGTGCTGATTTATTCAATGAACACAGGTAAAAATTAACATTACACGCTCAGTTATCTTGCACCCCCAACATGCACGCAGGCAG